TTTTAAGTACTTACTCTGGACACCTTGCAGCTTCGTTTGAGACATACATCGAATGTCTGTTTGGCACAATCCTGCATTCTCCGTTATACCGCAAGTCGTACCAGCTCGCGCACCGAAAACAATGTGCATTCGGTTCTTTTCAATGGCTTCGGCCATGTAATCTATGGCTCTCAAATGCGCACATACTGATGAAGAAAATACCACTTTTAGTTAACCCAAACCAACTAAATTTGTATACTAATATTTCTACTTACATTCATCATCTTCTTCGCAACCTGGCTGATAAAATCCGCCATTCATGTAGAAATCGCATGTCCCATCGGATACCTAACACCGTATCGCTCACCATCTGTATGGATGATTCGTACAAATTTAGCACAATCTTTGTTCAACATATTTCCCTGTCCTCCTTTTTATCTTCATTCCAACCTGATATCGTTGGATCTAGACCTGGGTATGAAATCGAAAAGTTAGTATATAAATTAGTATATATTGGCATGATGAATCTACTGACCTATTATCATCCCGATTTCACCGTCTACCATTCTGCCAAGAGTAGCCGCCAACTGTGCCCCAAGACCAAATGCGACTATATGAAAATCCGAGAGTTTCTTTCCTGTATAATCACTAGTTAAAGTTAACAGTGACCGCAAAGAAATGGCTACGTTGTAGAGTGTAGATTTTGCCTGGTTATAGTTTAAAGAGGCTGTAGGCTCCCAATCTAGGACAATCGCTGAAGTGTTTTCACGACCTTGATACGCTGGAAATCACCACGAATAAAAATGATATTTTAAAGGCTAGTGATATCAATTTAATTTATTTACTTCCCGAAGGAGAAGTTTATATTTTTGATAATCCGATTTGCAAATTTTATGTTTTTTTGGCGTATTCTGAATCGTTTGAGTCCAAACATCGAAATAGTATGTGAGTATGTACGCCTATTTTTTACCTTTCGTTAACCTTTTTCTCAAAAACAGCTAATCCGATTTGATAAATTTTAAAGCCATTTGATGCAACTGGATGATTAGTCATGTTGATCAGTTGATCAGTTTTGTGCCGCCATAGACAAAGCTGTTGTTTTATGATTATCAGAAAAGTGTAAAGTGAAACAGTATCGAGGCATTTTAATATAAATGTAAAAAGTATATAATAAAAATTATTTTCTATTATATTATAGATCTTATTTTAAAGTTTTTTTGGCTAAATTTCGTCTATATTCTAATAACTGTAAAGAAAAATGAAGATAATATACAACGCCATTTATATTACTATGCTGGTATCCAGTTTCATACATTATTGTATCTTGAATCATGTATAAAATGTACATTGTTTTAAATCTAGTTATAAAAAGAAAATAGAAAAATAAATTTTATACATTGATAAGCTGATTATGATGATATCTTATAAATGTATATTTGGTAATAAGTTTAATTGATGGAATTATATATTCAATTTACCTTTTATTATAGACATCACGTCCAATCTGGTTTGATGATATCCGTGAAGAACAAAACGAATATCATGACAACTTGGTATTTCAATTTCTTCCCATATTTCAGGGGTGAGGGGTAAGCCTTCATACTCACTAAAATAAAAATTATATATAAAAGCTAATATTTTAAGATAATAATCAAAAACTTCTATGAATTTCCTTTGCTATAAAAAATGGATTCAGGTAAAATTTAAACTTCTCAAAACCAAGTATATCAGAGGTGTAACTATTTCTCACAATTTTAGTTATGTTTCAATATTATAAACTAGTGTGATTAAATAGCACATAAAATGAAACTTTAAAATCTTAATTTTAATTTAATAATAAAATAAAATAATAATATTACTTGTTATACAAATAAGCTTCTAGAGGAGCACCATCTGGCGCTGATCTTGGCATAAAACATTCTGCTTCCGGACCCTCACTCAAAACTACAAAAAAAAATCAAAAAAAATTTACACTTCGTAATATAATATATAATATAAATGTAATATACTATATAATGAAAATAAAATACTCAATTATAATAAAATATTATACCATAATCGTAAAGATTGATGAAAATGGAAAAAAACTTGCATTAGTTTAAGAGCGATCATGATTAAATTTTACACTAGCCAAATAGCCAAAAGTGCTGATTTCCTTATAGCTGTATTTTTATAGCGACTGAAAAATGTTTTTACTTTGATAATACACAGGACCAGACTTGATTAATATTTTTCAATTATATATTTTTTTATTAATATAATTTGGGCATAAAATGGTAATAATAAATAAGTATACTTTGATACATTTATCGCAAAATAAGATTTCAAAAGCACAGATCTAATCAAATGTTTGTTATTTCAAAAAATTGTAATGTAATTGCAATCGTAAAAAAATATTTATAAAATATTTTCTTAATCGGTCCTGTATTCTTTCAATTTAAAATTCAGAATAATACGCTATTATTTTTTAACAATAAACCGTTTGATATTTACAAATGGTGCATAATAAAAATTCTATTTTCAATATTATATTAGAGTTGTTATTAGTAGTAACTATAAAAATTATCGTATTGAACAAATCTTTATTGGTTTCCTTTGAGCAATATTAATTTACATATTCTAAATTATGTAGCATATACATATATACATACATAAAATGTATGCATGCACATATTTATAAATAAATGATTTGTATTTTTCAGGATACATCAAGATGCACCATTTTTATCATCAAAATATTGTCTACGAACAATGCTGAAAAGAGCTTTAATTATTTTACATTTTCGAAAGATCAAATTTATTGGCGTCGCTATCATTTTTTTAAATGATTGTTGTAATGTGGACAGAAATTAAATTTATGTAGACAAATATTCTTTTTTTTGCAGAATTATATATTCGAAAATTAGAGAATTTTAAGAACTTAATAAATTGCAATGTAAAATGGAAAAATGTAGAATTGCCAATATAGAGTCATCCCCATATGGGGTGAAAAAGGTCAGATGACAAATTTTAGAATTATAGAATAGCAAAAAAACATATGTCAGTATTTATATGAGCCATCGAGTTATGGACTATATTTTTATTTGGTTATATTTTGAATCCCATTTAAGAATTTTATATTAATCAATTATCAACTCTCAAAACAAACAAGGTATATTATATTAATTATGTTACACACGAGATTAATTACTTTAAGGTCGATCTTTTTAATTGATCTCTATACATATATATTAATATCTGTTATAAAAAGGTAATATTTTCTTCATTTTATTTCTCATCGTTAAAATAAAATTAGTCGGCTCGGAGGATATCAAAGCAAAGGGCAACACGCTGGGAAGACCCTACAAACTATTTTATATACAAACAGATGCGCCAATAACATCCATTAATTTTCAAAATATAACCAAAGCCAAATATCAGAATAATAATTGAATAAGTCCACAATCATTTTATTATATTTACTCCAATTAATTGTCAGCAAAAACAATAAATTGTTCAGAAGGTAGTCAATTAATATTTACTATAATTTTTACATAAACTAATAAAGTTTGATGTATTGAGCAATAATTACTAATAAAGTTATTTTGTGAATAAATGGCTTGTTGTATTTAGTCGATATGAACGCACCTTTTTCATAAATAAAATCACCCTTAAAAAAAATCACCAGAAAATTTTATAAAAATAGCATTTTCTGTTACAATGGAAAAATATATGTTATTGAGAAGTGTTTTTGTAGTATTATATTTTAAAATTCACAAAATCGTATGTTTTAATTAACTGTTTCAATAAGCCAATTATTACTGACTGAATAGAACCATTGTGCAATTAAAAATATTAAAATAAATTAAATATAGTGTAGTATAAATCAAAATAAGTTTGTTTTTGTAAGTACTAGATTGTAAAAACATATTCGCTAATGTATGCATTCATAAAATTTGTAATATTTTTAAAAACAAATTCTATTTTTTTATTTAATTAGTTCGGCGTTTTACTTGTCGTTTTTAAGTTAAGAAGCACTAATTCTTAACTTAAAAAATAAAATTAATTAAATTAATTGAAATAAATTGTAATTAAACAACTAGCATTCTGAATATTTAAGTTATGGTAATATGATGCAATATATTTATGATTTTTTTTCAACTTCGAGAAATTTTTATCTAAATGTTAGCAAATAATTTATCAAAAATAACATGCAATAACAATTATTTTCGACAAAACAAATATCTTTTAATAATAAATTTAACCAATGACTCAGATGTTTCCATTTTATGTGTATTTCATTTCTACAGGTGGTTTTAAATGCTTACGTGTTTATAAATTATAACAGGAATAAATCTGATAAAATTGTTTGAAATTTCTTTCCGTTTAATAATACGTCGTCACAATACGGTTGTTTTTCGTATTAATTATTGTAGATGAATGAAATCAGAAAATCAACATAATTATTCGAACAATAGTTCGGCACATAAAATCAAATTTATTTCTTTTGAAATAGTATAAATCAAATTCCTATCGAATTTTTAAGGTTAATTAGTAGATTGAGATTTAAGGAAATTGATAGATTAACTTTAGAGCAGTAATCATAATTACTTACATGACGTATAGATTTCGGTAATTATTAAAATTATTTGTTTTAAATTATTAATCTATGTTTTCTGTTAATAATTATTCTGTTAATAACTATTCTCTCTTCAATCGTGGCATAAAATAACTGTACTATTTCAAAAAGTGTGTCATTTTCCAAAGATACTTTATTTAAGTATCTTTATCTCATTACCCTCACTATGGGGTGAAAAAGGACAGATGACAAATTTTAACAATATCGCGATAAAACACGTTTCTAATGAATTAACTAGGAATGATGAGTTTATAGTGTTACTGTATAGTAGACTTGGCTTTCACAATATAATTATTGAAAGTCAAATTGGATCTTTGTGTTTCTCGCCTTACCCTACATATTTCAGTATTCCTAAAAAAATGAAATCCAAATAGATATTATAGATTATCGACAAAACGTTGATTCAAAACCTCAAATACAGTAAATTTAGTACCATTTAATTTTATTGTTTACATTTTGATTCATTACGAAGATCATCAAGAAACGGCGAGAAATATTTTCGCATGCTGTATTGCTATTAAATTGAATTGCTCGAAGCAAAGAAATGATGTTATATATAGTTATTTGCTGTGGAGGAAAGGATGAAAATGGATAAATAATTTTAAATCATATTTTATGTTTTAAGCGAATTAACGTCATGATATTTATTTAGTTAAATATAATGAATGGATAGTAATATTTTAAGCGGGTAGGACTATGTAAATGAGCAATTTAACTTTGATGATAGAGTAACATCGACATCGAAACTCTGAGATAACATGAAGGATATATATATGGAACAACTACTTCATTCCTCCTTTGGTAAAAATACATGTAAAAATGTAAAAAACAATTTTTAAATGTGAACAAAATATCGTTTTTTCTTTAAAGCTTTCTAGATTTGTTATTGAGAAGAATACTTTTTAATGTTAATTTAATTCAATATAATCACTTTTATACTTTGATAATATAATAGATTTTTTTTTAAATATTTTTTTTCATATAGAAATTAATGTCTTACAAAATCCGATAATAATCTGCCTTGAATTTTTATTTCCTGTTCATCGAATTTGTATTTTATGTTAGTCAAACGTGTATGCTCTATGATTTTAAAGTACTCTTAATATAAATTTACTTTTTGAGTTTTCAAATTTTGTATAGTATTTGTATAGTACTTTTGCATAATTCTACAAATTTAATATACAACTAATGATGACGATTAAAATTTAAAGTGACAGAAGTCTTTTCGAATATTTATTTAAATAAAATATGTTTTCAGTTTCTAAATTTATGTTTATATGTTTCAAATTTCATTCCGCTACGATCCACGAGATTTTCAGAATCAAGGTTCAAAATCAAATTATCGTAAAAATATTCCGAAGTTTATTTTCGCTGTCATATAAAATGCACACAAATCAGAAACATATAAAACGTCTGCCGAATAAAATAAAAAGAAAAAAAAAAACAAAAGCGCCAGAATAATCGCGATGTATATATTGTTATTCGTGTTAGTAATATAGGCAGTGTGTGTATATCAGACAATATCACATGGCGAAAATAATTTATTAGGCACTAAATATAAATCAATACCATATATGTGATTAAAAATTAACTAACTCAAATATGAACTATAACGGTTTTTTAGGAAAGGCCGCAACCTCATTGAATTATGCAAAAATTCAATAATTACTTCTGATTGAAAGCTTTTTATACCTAACTTATAAAATGATAATAAATATATTCATACCAAAACAAATATTTAAGTATGGAAATTATTAAATTTAGGTAAAACAAATATATAAACAAAACATCAATCCCAAAACTAATGTTGAGTAGGGGAGACTGGGTACGGTTGTGCCACTTTTTTATTAGCAATAATTTTGTTACTTCACCAATTTGAAAAATAACGTGAATAGCAGCAGTCCATGATTTTAACTTGATATTTTTAAATTGAGTAGAATGTTTTCAAAAAAAGCGTAAATAACAGTCCATGGTTATAACAAAACCATTTTTTTCCCTCTCGCTGTATCTTTCACATTTTTGTTGCAATTAGTTAATTATGGCGCTGACTCAATAATGATGGAATTTTATTCAAACACACATACATCGTCTTTCTCTCTTTAGGCCCTATCTTAAAATCAGTATAGTTTAGCTGTTATGGCGACTGTTACATCAGTATAACAATCTTTTTTTCAGGTTAATGAATTGTTGTTTAATCATTTTGTTACAATTGCTGTATCTATTCATTATCATTTAGATTGTAATAAAGTAGTTTTAATATTTCCGCAATAATTCAAAATTGATGTGTTATTCGAAGTTTGAATTTTAATCCTTTAATAGTATCTGAAAATATAGAAAAATTCAGCCTTTACATGCTAGTTCTCAGGAAAAGCTCTAATTTAGATTATTGTTGTTAAATGTTATTCACGTTACAATTAACGTAAAATTAAAAACTTTTTACTGGGCTGGCAAATT